CTAGCTACCTCAAACTACGGTACATTTTTCCGACAAATTTTGTTTGAAAAGGTGTATATGTGAAGAAAGTATAGGCGACGCAATTAATTATGAAAAGTGTTAAAGAAATAAGTTGATAAAAAGTGTATACTAATGTCTCATTTCATTGTATTTTAAATATCACTATTTTTTATTTTCAACATCAATACACAGATTGTTTTTCGAACAATTTAATCGTGAAATTCTCTGTAAAATGTGTAGTAAATGTTTTATTCCAGAATAAAAGAGTGAAATATTGCATAAAAATTCGCGAAAATCTCGCTTTTCAAAAAACAAAGTTTTGACTTTCTGATGCAAAAAGTTAAATTCATCATCTTATGATGCTTGAAAAACACTAGCTATCAGTCATATTTATGATTCTTCTGCAGTTAAACAAAGGTTTCTAGATAATATTCTTACCAGATAACATCGTTAAAACATGATGAGTGAAAAACGTTGCATGACTCTTCCCGTGTAGCCTTTTACTTTTCCAATTTGTAAATAATACGTTCACTACATATTCTGTAGAAAATTTCACAATTCACCTTTTAAAGAAAATCTATACTAATGTTCAATATAAAGAGGTTATATTAGAAATGGATGGAATCAAAAGTTACAAGTTATCATAGATTCATAGGTGAAGTTTTCATGCTTTTGACTAGTAGAGATTATGTACATTTTAAACAGTAATATCAATTAAATCATATAATTAAATAAAGAGAGCAACTGAATAATCATCTAGGTGAATTCTAAAGATACATCTGTTGGTTGGGGAATCTGGTTCGATTCCAATAAGTTTCTTTGTTGCAGCACCAGCATCATTTGCACAAGCTCGAATTTGGCTTGATGAACGAACTCGCTTCGATTCAGACAAGCCACAAGTAGCGATCTATAATATGCCTTTTGTTTATTGTCTGCAATCAAGTCATACTTTATCGGTTACACAACTTCATCAAGCTCTTCATCTCACTGTTCACAAACATCTCTCACTCCATACATCACTTCATAATGACATCCAAAAGAATCTACTTATGCAACGAGTTATCACTCATGAAGATAAAAATAGTAATAATATGTTTTCAATCATCCAAACTACTTATGAAACAGATGAACAATTGAATGAGATTTTACACGACGAGAAACGTAATCCTTATCTTTTCGATCTTGCTCAAGGACTTGTCTTTCGATGTCATATTGTTTATTACAAACAAATCTCTTCAAATCATATTCTTTCTCACAAAGATCTACTTCTCTTCAACTTTCATCATGCTTTGTTTGATTTTTCATCGATGGAAGTGTTTCATCATGATCTCAATCAAGCATATACAACAGGTCAATTATTATATGATGACAACACTAATCTTCGTTATCTTGATTGTAAATATAATTGGTTCTTTTACTTCTGCCTTTTCTAATACATTCTTTTCTTTGATTATATAATAGATGCTGTTATTGAACAAAAAATGCCAATGACTGGTGCAAGTATGTTTTGGCTTGATGCTCTTCATAATTGTAAACTAGATCAACCTTTGTCATTACCATATGATCGATATCGTCTCTCACATGAACATCAGACTGGTCATACAACATCTGTCTCTTTCGATTTTGGAATAGATCTTTCCCATCAGTTTCTTAACTATGCATCATCAAACAATTTCAAACATCAGTATCTAGCACTTGCTACTTACTTTATCTTGTTATTTAAATTAACGAATGGTGAAAAAGATTTATGCATTTTAATGAATGTCGACAATCGTTATAGAGATGAACTTAAATCTCTGATTGGATTGTTTGAGAATGTCATTCCATTGAGATGTCAATTAGATCCTGACTGGTCTTTTCATTATGTACTCGATTATGTTCGAGAGATAACAACAAATAGTATGAAATATTCTTATTTTCCTCTTCAGCATATTCTCAATCAACATCCAAATGTTCCAAAACCAACATTTCTTGATATATCATTTGAGTTTCTCTCATTTATTACAAGAAGTGATAATAAACTAATAATGATTGGTGATAGTCAACTTTCTTCTATACATTCTACAATGAATATTAATGATAATGAGATTAGAAATAAGTATGATTTCTTACTCGTAATTCAACATGATGTCAATATCAATCAACTCTCATGCACAATCAATGCATCACTTGATTTATTTAATGTCGAAACAATCGATAAGATTTCTCAACGATTTCATTCAATGTTGAATCAATTATTTATATCTTTTGACTGTACAGCAAACAAACCAGTCTATGAATTATCATTAACACTATCCAATGAAAGATTACTCATGCAATCGATGAATAATACACAAGTATCATTTCCATCTCCTCTCACTTGTATTCATCATGAGTTTGTATATCAAACAATGAAGCATCCACAAAAACTAGCTGTTGAACTAGATGAACAATCATTGACATATTGTGAACTTCTATATTATGTTCAAGTATTATCTTTAACTCTTCTTAATGAATATCTTGTCACTCCAGGTGAAATAGTTTGTCAATGTGTTGAGCGAAGTTTGTCAATGGTAAGTTGATCAGGAGAAATAGCTATCGATTAGAGTTTGAGATTGATTTTGACTAGGTGATTGGTATTATAGGAATTGAAATGGCTGGTGGTGTTTATTGTCCATTATCACCTCGAGATCCACAACATCGTTTACATGCTCTTGTACAACAAACTCAATGTCGTCTTGTTCTTATTCATGATTTAACGAAGACCAAATTCGATCATGACAGTGTTACACTTGATATTGATCCAATATTAAATGTTTATAATATGGATAGTGACATGAATTATAGTTACCTCTCAAGGGTGAAAGTGAAAGGCAAAGAGATAGCTTACATTATTTTCACTAGTGGTTCAACGGGAACACCTAAAGCAGTTCGTTTTCACTTCATTTTCAAATAATTGATTCATTTCCATGCTCTTTCGTAGGTTCAAGTTCGACATAAGAACTTTATTGCTTGTATACATTCTTTGGCTTACATGAACTCGTTTAATAAAAATGATACGGCTGTACAAATGACACGATGTTCATTTGATATTCATGTTCAGGAGATACTAGGTACATTGTTAGTTGGAGGCACGTTGATTATGCTTCATCCAGGTGGAACTATTGATTTTGATTATTTATCGGAAATCTTACAGAACAAACAGATCACATATCTACATACTGTACCAAGTTTACTACACAGTTTCTTTACTTCTGTCGTGCAAAATAACAATCCGAATGTCTTAAAACATGTTCGATCACTTTGCAGCAGTGGTGAGTAACTTCCAAGCAAATTTCGTTCGTTTATTGAATGTATGTTTATTATTATAGGTGAACCTTTTTCTGTTCCATTAATTAGTTTGATTGTGAAAATCGGTATAACAAACTGTATTGTATGGAATTTGTATGGTCCAGCAGAAGCAACCATAGGTTCTACAATTCATTATGTAAATATTACAAGTGATACACAGCGTATTCCGATCGGTAGACCATTTTATAACTATCGATGTATGATTATGAATGAATATTTACAATCATCTGCTATCAGTCAACAAGGTGAATTGTTTGTGGGAGGAGTAGGTGTCTTTGCTGGTTATCTTGGACGTGATGATTTAACTGCAAAAGCTCTTATGGAAATAGATGGTCAACTATTTTATCGAACAGGTGATCTTGTTGATATGAGTCATAATGGTCTTCTTCATTATCAAGGAAGAAAAGATCATCAAATTAAACTACATGGACAACGAGTTGAACTTGGTGAGATCGAACGATGTTTACTTATCATTACATCAATCTCTGTTTGTGTTGTCATGAAATGGAAAGATGATTATTTAGTTGCATATGTTCAAAGTTTTGATATTAATGAACAGGAATTGCGTGAACATTGTCGATCTCATCTGCCACCACATATGATACCATCTCTTTTTATTATACTTGATAAATTACCTTTGAATCAAAATGGAAAAGTAGACCGAAAACAACTTCCTTCACCCCAGTTTTCCTTATCAACTTTGTTATTATCCGATAAGTCTGATACTCCTCTTAATCAGTTCGAAGAACGTGTACACACGATTTGGTGTAAAGTTCTTCATCGTAATGAAAGTCACATTTCTAAAGCTACCAGCTTTTTCAGTGTTGGCGGTCATTCACTGTTATTTATTGAACTTTATCATCATTATCAATCAGTATTTAACTTTGATACTCAAACAATTTCGATTGCTCCATTTCTTCAGCAACCAACTATATTTCAACATTCACAATTACTTCAAACAGTTACAATGAATAATATCAAGGCCACACAATGGTATACGTTGCATATAAATGAAGGTAAGATATTTTTAGTTTACTTTTTTACTGGCTAAAAATACTATTTTCACAAGTTTTTAGGTATAGCATCGTATGCTCAGGAACGTGTATATCTTGATGAGAAAATGCGTTTTTCTGGAGAAACTGCCATCTACAATGAGCTGTTTATTCTACAAATTACAAAAGGTTCATTATCAGTGGATCGTTTATTGCAAGCTCTTCGCTATGTCCTAAGTAAACATAAGATATTAAGATCTTCTCTAGTTTTCAATGATGACGATAGTATTTTAAAACAATCTATCACGGATAAACATCTGACATTTACATTGGCTGCCGACCAAACATTCAAAAATGAAATTGATCTTCATAACATTATTTCACAAATAAGTACCAATTCTAATCTGTTCGATTTGTCAAGTGGTTGTGTTTTTTATTGTCAAATTCTCAGACAACAGATGACACCTGATGAAAACTATGATAAAGAGATTATTACAGAATCTGATGTTCTCGTTATCGGCTTTCATCATGTTGCGATTGATCATTCAACTCTCCCAATCCTTTTTAATGATCTATGTAATGCTTACAATAGTAACATGACGTGGTTAGATGATGAAGAATCATTACAATATATTGATTATAGTGTTCATGAGCGTCTAATCGACATGACGTTGTCACATGAATTTTGGCGTTGCCAATTGAATGGATACAATCAAGAATGTCGATTACCATTGCCAGTTGATCGACATCGCTTATATAGTGATCAAAGATCTGGATATGCTTCGATTGCTCATATCACATTTGATAATGAGATTTCGACATCATTTCTCGATTATTCATCTTCACATCAAGTCACACCTTTTCAGCTAATTCTGGCTACACTCTATGCATTTCTTTTTAAATTAACATATCGACAAGATGATTTATGCATCTCTTGTCTCAGTGCAAATCGATACAAAACTGAATTACAGAATATGGCTGGAATGTTTCTTACAGTATTACCATATCGTATTCAACTTGATCCTCAATGGTCATTTGATGAAGTAGTTAAATATGTACAAGAGAAAAGTTTGTCAATTCTTGAACATTCTCATTATCCATTACAGAATATTCTTCGTGATTCTCATCTTAATCAATTAACTGTTCCTTTTCTTCAAACATTGCTTAATTTCATTACTGTATCTTCAGTTGACGATCAGTTTACTTTCGATGATGTTAGTGTACAGCCAGTATCATTAAAACAGCTTTTCGAAGCGTCTAAATTTGATTTTAATTTGAAACTTCTTTACAATCCAAACTCGGATGACAATATATTGTCATGTCGTTTTACTTGTTCACGTGATCTGTTTGAAGATACGACAGTTACAAAAATGATACAAAGATTTCAATATCTTTTTGAACAACTTTTTTCAACGAATTTTAATATTAATCAGACTGATTTAGCAGTTTCATCTATTGACAAACTTACTCTTGTTTTACCGGATGAAGTGAATGAAATGCAACACATAGCGTTTTACCGTCAATCAAACGTGACGAATGAAGGTATGTCGTTTTCCTATTTATCATATATATGATGATTTTTATTGATATAGTTCAGTTAGATGAGAGAGACATGTATGATATGTATAAATATTATATTTTCAAAGTTAAAAGTATTGATTGACCTGCGTTAGCTCAAGAATCATAATGTTAGTCTGTTTTTCAATATAGAATAAAAATATATGAATATAAAAAGATCTCACTAATCTTCAATGTGAAATCCTTTCAAAATTTTTTGCAGATAGAACACTATATAGTATAAATATATGACGTTTAGTAGTAATGATAAGCATAAGAGTTGTGATTAAAAAGGTATTAAGTTTTTGGCATAATTGTTTTCGACTAGAATGCTAAGAATAATATGACAACTGAGTGAAACACAGCTTAATTTATAAAGTTTTAGATAGTTTTTTTTGGAAATTTATTTGGCATTATAAAATTCAGGTTTAATCCTGAAGACAATGAGTTATATCAATATCGATGACAATTTCGTTATCTTGTAATAATCTAATTATAGCATCATCAACTCAGTTTCTGTAAACACGAATTAAAACAACAACATATTTTAGTGACGCTAACTTATCTTTTTTAATTCAGATTAGACACAGTTCAAGTGCAAATCTCTTTTTGACACTATAGTTTGACACTTTTTAAGCGAATCCATATTTATAGTTTTAAATAAAACTAACCACTTTTTAATAAAATTTTTTAAAACATATGATGACGATGATGGATGTAAGAATATGATCAGTAGATAATTATTCGACGTTTCGATAACTTAAGTGTCATGCATGAGAAAGTAAAAATCAACATATGTAAGACAACATTAACATTTAATTGATTGTTTTTCTTTCACTTTATTTAGTAATACTAAAATGAACTGAAAGTAGATTTTATTCAAAATTATTATCAGTCTTAAAATTAGTTTTGTTTATACTTTGGAAAGCTAGCTACCTCAAACTACGGTACATTTTTCCGACAAATTTTGTTTGA